CAACTCTCTAGTATTTAAAAGCATGCTCAAGTGGCCTGTGCTCTTAGTACTTATGGTACCATCCTTGGAACAGAAGGAAAACACTTTCTAACAATTAGGACTCTCCGGAAATGGGGACAGTTTCTCAGGGGATACTCCCTGCCATTGACTGAATGATCCAGTTTGAGTCTGGCAGGCATGTGAGACCTGGGAGGCTCTTGCCAATACCACTATCTCATGACTAGGTAGAACTTTCACTGAAGTCAGGAATCAAAGCTATGTTAAAAATTCTTCCCATTTTGATTGTGGTTTGAATTTTCCAACCACTTTCCCCCTCCCTGACCTCTAGTCAGGAATCTTTGGAGGTGAGGAAGAGAATGCACATCACAAGATATGTTTCATGTCAGCAGGCATTTATTAAATACCTGTGAAGCACCAATGTCTGTGCACACAAGGACAGCATTAAGCAGTCCCTGTAGGTACTGCTGTTAAATGGCAGACAAGCCTTGGGAACAGCTGGAAATCTAAGGAGAAAGAGAGCATTAATAAGCAGGGATATTAGGGAAGGCTTCACAGAGAAGGTGGCATCTGAGCTCAGAGTTAAAGGAAGATCAAAATCTTCAGAGAATTAAAAGTGGTGATTGGGTGAGGGGTGTACTCAAGACATTGGAGACAGCTAGTATTTTTCTAACATTTATATAGAATTTTAGGGTTGGCAAGGGGCACAGATTATGAATTTACACTTTATATATATATATATATATATATATATATATGTATATAAATATATGTATATATATGTATATATATGTATATAAATATATGTATATATGTATATATATACATATACACACATGTATATGCATATACACACACATATATACATATATATATATATATACATACACACACACACACACACATATATGTATATATATAAACTCATTTTCTCCCTGCTAACAGCTCTGGAAGGCAGGTGCTATTGTTATCCTCATTTTACAGAGAAGGAAAATGGGGTTAGGTGATTTGCTTTGGGTCCCACATCTCATAAATATTTGAGGCTGGATTTGAACTCAGGTCTCCCTGATTTTAGGCCCAGCTCAATCCATTATGCCACTTAGCATGTGGGATAGTCTGCAAACAAACAATGGGGTAATGAATTCAGTGAATAGCTGGAAGTCCAGCTTGTCTGGAAGGTAGAATGTGTAAAAGGTAGAAGCCAGATAGAGGTCTGGAATGGTAAGTGGAAGCCATATCATTAAGAGCCTTAAAGCCTAGGCTGGAGAATTTATATCTTATCCTAGAGGTAATAGGGAGCAACTGATGGTTTTTGAAAAGGGGAGGGACCTTAACTGGGATCATAACTGCATCTTAGGAAGATCATCTGTGCTGGTGGAATCCACAAGGCTTGCCAACTGAGTAGATGACAGCAGAGTCTGAAGGGAAAGAAAAGGGAAAAGTCAAAGAAAATTTTATGGTTTTGATTCTCAGTGACCAGAAGGTCAGTTGTATTATCAGTAGCGAGTCAATCAATAAGCATTAACACATGTACGCCAGTCACTGTGCTAAGCATGAGGGATACAAATAAAGGCCCCCAAACAATCCCTGCTCTCAGGAAGTTCACATCTTAATGGATGAGAAAACATGCAAACAACTCTGTACATTCAAGATAATTGTAGTATAAATGAAAGGAAATCTAAGAGGGAAAGCACTAGCAGTGAGGAGGACCAGGACAGTGCCACTTACTGAAGGTGGGATTCAATGAGTCTTGGTTGAAGGGATCCAGCAGAAAGATCAATGTTTGGAGAAAGAGCAGGTGAGGGGATAGGTTGGAAACAGTTTGGTTTTGGACATCTCAATTCGAGATGTCAGTGGGATGTCTTCAGTTAAGATGTCAAATGGGCAGTTAATGATATGGGATCAGGTTAGAGACTAGGAATGGATAGATAAGATTTGAAAATGTTACACAGAGATGATATTGAACCCCTAGGATTGAATGATGTCAAGTGTATAGAAAGAAGAGAAGAGAAGAGGAGAGGAGAGGAGAGGAGAGGAGAGGAGAGGCGAGGAGAGGAGAGGAGAGGAGAGGAAAGCAGAGGAGAGGAGAGGAGAGGAGAGGAGAGGAGAGGAGAGGAAAGCAGAGGAGAGGAGAGGAGAGGAGAGGAGAGGAGAGGAGAGGAGAGGAGAGGAGAGGAGAGAAGAGAAGCAAAAAGAAGAAGGGTTAGGAATTGGGTGATGATGATAGACCCAAATCTCACACCATGTACCAAAATAAAGTCAAAATGGGTTCATGACTTAGATATAAAGGCTGATACTATAAGCAAACTGGGAGAACAAGAAATAGTTTACCTATCAGATCTATGGAGAACAGAAGAATTCAGGACCAAACAGCAGATAGAGAACATTATGAAAAGCAAAATGGATAATTTTGATTACATTAAATTGAAAAGTTTTTGCACAAAGCCAATGCAACTAAGATTAGAAGGAAGGTAGAAAATTGGGAAAGAATTTTTACAACCAGTCTCTCTGATAAAGGCCTCATTTCTAAAATATATAGAGAATTAAGACAAATTTATAAGAACAGAAGCCATTCCCCAATTGATAAATGGTCAAAGGATATGAACAGACAGTTCTCAGATGAAGAAATTAAAGCCATCTATAGTCATATGAAAAAATGCTCTAAATCGTTATTGATTAGAGAAATGCAAATCAAAACAACTCTGAGGTACCACATCACACCTATCAGATTGGCCAACATGACAAAACAGGAAAATGATAAATGTTGGAGAAGATGTGGGAAAATTGGAACACTAATACATTGTTGGTGGAGTTGTGAAATGATCCAACCATTTTGGAGAACAATTTGGAACTATGCCCAAAGGGCTACAAAAATGTGCATACCCTTTGATCCAGCAATAGCACTTCTAGGGCTATATCCCAAAGAGATCAAACAAATGGGAAAAGGACCCACATGTACAAAAATATTCATAGCAGCTCTTTTTGTGGTGGCAAAGAATTGGAAATTGAGAGGATGCCCATCAATTGGGGAATGGCTGAGCAAGTTGTGGTATATGAATGTAATGGAATACTATTGTGCTATAAGAAATGATGAACAGGCTGACTTCAGAAGAACCTGGAAAGACTTATATGGTCTGATGCTGAGTGAAGTGAGCAGAACCAAGAGGACTTTGTACACAATAACAGCCACGTTATGTGATGACTAATATTGTTAAACTGAACCCTTCTCAGCATTACAAGGATCTAAGACATCTCCAGAGGCCTTGGGATGGAAAATGCTGTCCACATCCAAAGAAAGAACTATGGAAGTCGAATCGCTATCACTTATTTTTACCTTCTGTTGAGTTTTGTTTCATCTTTCTGATGGTTCCTCCTATTGGTTTTAATTTTTACTTACAACTTCACTAATGGGAAAAATGTTTAATAGGGTGTAAATGCAAACCCTATATCAGATTGTGTGACCTCTTGGGGAGGGTGGGGAGGTGAGGAAGGGGGAGAAAAATTTTCAACTGAAAAGCGTATGGAAGTGATTGTTGATAAATCAAAACAAATTAACAAAATTTTTTAAAAAAGGAATTAGGTGATGATGCAGAAGATGCCATTGTGGTCATATAGGTAGGGAGTCACCCAGGAGAGAGCAATGCCATGGTAGCCAATGGAGAAGAGAAGAGAATGTTTAGGTATCCAGGAGGAAAAATGTGCGTGTGTGTGTGTGTGTGTGTGTGTGTGTGTGAGTGTGTGTGTGTGTGTGAGAGAGAGAAGAGAGAGAGAGAGAGAGAGAGAGAGAGAGAGAGAGAGAGAATTTCTAGAAATGATGGAAAGGGACATTTGTTGAGTTGAATAAAATTGAACTGAATGAACAGGATTGAGGGGAGGGGGTGGGACTTGGCATGGAGAAGGTCTGCCTCATCATTCGAGCCTGGAGAAGAGGAGGAAAGAACTAAGGATGATGTAAATTATTTTCAGGGTTTATAGTAGAAGAGAAGGCATTCAGGGTGGTCAGCCTTGATTTTCTCGGCAATGTAGGACACAATCCTCTCTTAGGAAGAAGATAGTATGAGAGGCTCAAGGAAAAAATGTTTAGGATAGTAAGACTTGGAGCAGCTGCTATTAGACTTTTTCCTTTGAAATCAGTCTCAGATGGAACTGAATGAAGAAAAATAAGTAATTAATGAGGTCTTTAGTCCTTCTGAAATCTTTGAAAAGCTGTGAACTCTGCTGGTGCTGAATATTCTCTGTGCTTTTAAACATCATATTGGGGAAGAAGGAGATAAGCAGTTATTAGACATGCCACCTAAATGCCAGGCACTGTGCTAACTAAACATTTTACATATGTTATCTCATCTGATTCTTACAACAACTCTGGGACGTATGTGCTATCATTATCGCCATTTTGCAATCAAGGAAACTGAGGCAAACAGAGGTTAAGTGATTTTCCCAGGATCACACAGCCAGTAAACATGAGGTAGGCTTTGAATTTATGTCTTTCTAACTTTAAGGCATTGGCAATGATCAATCAAAGCTGTTGTTTTCACACCTGACCTATATCTTTGCTTGACTTAGTGACAACCATAACGGTTTTAGCTTAGGAACTGGGCAAGAGGTGCTTACTAATTAATGTACAAAAAGTCCATAGGAACCTGCATAAGTCCCCGGGAAGCAGAGGTTCATCAGAGAGGGAGGGATGGCTACCCTGACTATTTATGGGCTTGAATGCAAATCAGCATTTTTTTTGGTAGTTGATGTATAAAATATGTCCTCTCCTCTATTTGAGTTATTGTTAGCCTGGGTGCTTGCATCAGGGCTGATTTCCCCTTTCCTTTTGTCATTTTGGACCTAGACATGAGCTAAATTCAGATATTCCCAGGGCAAGTCATGTGTGGGGGCGCAAATCAAGGAGAGATTTGTGTGAGAAGTCCTTGAGATTAAAGTCAATCTGTGTGAACCCAGAACCTTGCTTTGGGGCCATGGGTTACATAAATAAGACTAATGTTTGAGCCATGCTATATTTGCCTACATTCCTTCCCCCTCCCCCCAACAAAAACAAGCCCCTGGTTTCTACTGTGTTTTCTTTTGCAGAAAGGTGCATCACTTTCCCATCTCATTTGTCTTGGTGGTGGGCATTTAACAATGGGCCACTCCTCCAGAATTATTGGCATGATGACTTTGGAGAGCTGAATGATGAAATCTTCTGTTTCTAGACAAGCTGCCTGGAAACAATGCCTGGCTATGTTCAGAAACCACTGAGATCTGTGGTGCCAAAAGGATCAGGGCACAGCTCAAGCAAACGAATCGAAAGGTCAGACACCTGATCAGCAGAGTCCTAGAAAGGAGGGAAGAAATCGATGTTCTCAAACTGAGAAATCAGGTGGTGATAATGGGGCCCTGTCTCGGTCTCAGCTGCCTCCCTTTGGACAAACCCATCTGAGCAGCCTGAACTCGGGACTAGAAGTGGAGACTGAAGAGTCACAGCAGACCTGTGGCTCAAGTATGCTTTCCTCAACTGCTCAGGTGCACTGGACCTTGGCAGCTGTACCAGAATTCCATTGTCTCTGAGGCTGCTATACCTTATGGGGGGAGATATGGAAGAGGCAGGGCTAGGGAGTGAAAGGACAGGAGCTGTGCCTTGTTTTAGAGAGAACCTTGAGTATACCTATATTGCTATCATCTCTCTCTGCATCGATATCTTTGTCTAGGTCTACATCCACGTCTGTATCTATATCTATGCCTCTGTTTCTATCTAATCTTTGTCTGATCATATATACCCATACCATCTTCTCTCTCTGTCAGTTGGGGCAGACTCTAAGTGCTCTGAGCATCAGCAGTCTGAGCCTCAAATTTCTCTCTGTGCAAATTCAATGTTCCTAGAACAATACTTTTATACATTTATATATTACATTTTCTCCCCCCCCACCACATTCATCCCATCTTTAAACTTCCCTATTTCTGTTGAAGGCACTAGCATCCTTCGAACATCATAGTTTCAGAGCCTCAGAGACAATGTTAGTGCTGTCTCTGTCTCCTGTCTTTTTCTTTGTCTCTCTGTCTGTCTCTGTCTGTCTCCCCCCACTCCTCTCTCCAATGGTTCCCTATTGCTTCTTGGATAAAACATCAAATCCTTGGTCTAACCCTGAACATCTTTCATAACCTATACTCCCATTGCCTGCTTAATTCCTTTTAATTACCAATCACTGTATCTTGTCCAGCTGGTTATTTCAGTCAACCTGCCTGTTGTTCCCTGGACATTCCCTTCCATTTCCTGTCTCTACCTTTGCACAGATGGTTCGAGTGCACGGAATGTTCTCTACCCTCACCTCCACTTCTTAAAATGCCCAGCTTTCTTCAAAGTACAGCTCAGTTGTCACCAACTGCATGAAGTCTGTCCTGCTGGCCCCTCCTTCCCAGACCTCCCTCCCAGTCATTAGCACTCTCTCCCTCTTGAAAGGACTGTATTTACTTTATGTATATAGTTGCCTTTTACTTATCGAAGCCCAGGCTGTAGAAGACGTAAACTCCTTGAGAGAAAGGGTTGTGCAGTTCTTGTCCTCACACTCCTAGTGCCTTGCAGACTGTGGGGGCTTAATCGGTGCCTGCTGACGTTTTCATTATTTAGCTGACCCCACTCAGCAGGGAGTCAAAGGTCTCATTAACAGTCCTGGCTTTGTCATTAACTAACCCCATGACCTGAGGCAAGAGCTTTCTCCCCCTCTCTGGTCTACCTTTCCTTAAATCCATGAAGAGTAGGCTACACTAAACTCCTCCAAGGTCCACAATGGTGGCGCTTCAAATTTTTTTAATTGTAGAGGATTTTAACGGAAGATTTCAGCTCCTACAAGACAACGGCATCAGGGTAACAGCTCCTCTCCCCAGTTCCTAGTCTGTGCCCACCAGACTGTATCTATCTCTTTGGCTCCCCCTGTCCTCCTCAGCTTTCCTAAGCCAAGGACTAGACCTACCACTCCTCATTATCCCTCACAGAGCCCATTCTATTCCACCCGATCGGTTTGTGGATGCAATAAAAACAAACCCACCAACACGGAGAGGAGTGGACGATAGGCTGAACTCCAGGGAGAAGTTTTGAGGGAAATACTTTCCCCATTGAACAGAAGCTCTTTGGAGACAGGACAGGGCCATTTTGGTCACTTGTCTCCAGTGTCTGAAGATGGTCCAGCAGGAAGAATTTATAGGGAGAACACCAGCTCAGATGCAGCTGAGCCCAAGTCCTGTCTTCCCGATGCCTCTCCTAGGGCTGGCCTTGGTATGCATTTGAAGCAATTTCTGTCCTTAACATGAGTGAAAATGTCTGTACATGAATTTTTTTTAAGGGAGATGACAAAGGACAGTTGTTTTCTATTCTGTGTGCAGCTTTTAACCAGACCAAGATGTTCCCCACTCTGGTGGCACAGGGCTCCCCCCCCCAACTCCTGCTTTTGCGCAGGTTATTAGAACTTCATTGTAAAAGGGCAGTGGTTCTTTCAAACTTATGTCTTTTATGAAGGCTAAGTCAGGGTCCGCGAAGATGGGCCTCTTCTGTTGGCACTGTCAACACAGGAAATACAAGATGACTAAACTCATGAGATAAAAGGACAGCTCCAGGCCCCACTCACAGAAATGCTGTATTTGTTAATGCCTATTGTGTGCCCTTCAAGCGAGAAGACAAAGCATTGGCTGAGCAATTAGAGACAGATTCAGCTGTGTCCATTGGCCAAACTTGGAGCAAGCAAAGACAAGAGGAGACTCCAGAAAGTCAGCTATGACCAGTGGGGCACTTCCACTCCTTGGCAGGATTGGAGCATTTTCATTTCTCTAGCCTGGAGGAATATTGTCATCCTGATCCCCCGAGGCAGGGAACTGGGAGGAAAAAGGCTCTCCTGCATATGTCACTGCTGGCTGACCTGGACCGACCTTTCTCTGCTTGGTAGGCTGGAGATTTAGATCTAGAAGAGACCCTAGAAACTATTGAGTCTAACCCCCATACGTTGGGAGACTCTAGATTCCTATTCTGGGAGTCAGATTGGGTATATCTCTCCCTCAGGGTGCTCCTGAGAAATCAGGAATGATGCCCTTCCAGTGTGGTACCCCACTTCTAACTGCCAATAATTATCACCCCATTTACATTTAGTGAATTAATATGATTTAGCTTTCACCAGAGGATTTTTATTGCAAATATGAAGTAAGAACAAAAGTAAAACAATCTCCCCCGAACCTGGGGTGGGACACATTCTCCCCTACACCATCTCAGTCTTTAGGCAGTGTGGGCTCAGAATTAATGTAGGCTCTGTGTAGTATTTGCCCCACCAAACTCCCTTCCAAGTGTGGCATGGCTCACTCAGACCTCACTCCTCTCCATGAGGCTCTGAGCAAGTCCTGGCACAGACTCTAGCTCCTGGCCATTGGTGGGGGGGGCACCCTCTTGATTCTTCATAAAATGGTCAACATCTATAGTCTCTTTCACCTAATCCCATAGGGACAGGAGCAGCAGCAGGTCTGCGTGCTTGTGGGCCACTCATCTCGAGTGGGGAGACAGGGGCCTGAAGCCTTTCTTTCCCACCTTGGGCTTAGTCCTTGCCCCCTCTCTTAAAAATAGCCAAGCATTTATTAAGTGCCTACTATGGACAATGGTAAATAGTAGAGATTCAAGGACAGGGAAAAACAGAATTCCTGCCTTCAGGGAGAGCAGATTCTAATGGGGAGACAAGATATAAATAACTATGGACATGCTATTTACAAACACATACATGTGTACATATGTGTGTGTATATATATAATGTGTATGTAGATAGGTAGATAGATAGAGAGATAGACAGATAGATACAAAGAGAGAGAGAGAGAGAGAGAGAGAGAGAGAGAGAGAGAGAGAGAGAGAGAGAGAGAGCAAATGGAAACTATTCTCAGTGGGGAGCCTAGAACAGGGCATGGAAAGGGTTCTGTGGTTCTGTGTGTTTATTATCAACCACAGAGAGACTGTTCAGGAAGAGTCAACAGGGTTGGGGACTATATTCCTGTAACCTGGGACAGAAAGAAGATGAAAAGAAAGTATTGACTCATTTAGGAGCCAGGGCTGGGAGTATTCTGTAAAGGAGGGCAAAAGGAAAAGGTCTCCCTGTTTCTGCTGTGGCCAGCTTCTTGTGTGTATGGCTCTGAGGAGGGTTACAGATGGAGTTGGACATGTGGTGACTAATCCCAAGACAGGGCCAATCAGAATGCGGCAGCTGAGTCAATCCACAAAGAAACAACAGTAGGCCAGAACTTCAGCAGAAGACAGGGAAGCATCCAGACAGCATCCAGAGCATGGGGAGTGCCAAGGAGTGATTAGCAATGGCCTCTGAAGTGAAAAAGCACATGGGATGGGGACTCCACAAAGAACATCGAAGAGCTTGGAGGGGCACTGCAGGGGTCTTGACTAGGCAGGTGAAGACTAGATCAAAGAGCTGTTGGAAGCTGCCCTGACACAGCAGCAGTGAAGATTGACTGATTGCCAGGCAAGGGAGAAATCAGATCTCAGGCAGAGACCCTGGAACCCAAATTGTTCCTTCCCTTGGAACCTATTGTCCAGTGAAATAGATCCTTGTCCACTAGCAAGGGAGTCAGTGGGAGATTGGGTTCATTTGGGAGGGGTCTGAGAATGATTGGACTGCACAATTTTTCCAGTTGTTGACTTTGCTATGACTTTTAGGACCAAAGTGCCCTTCCTGACTACCTCAGAATTGGGCTTAGATAGATAGACACAGATCTAGGGTCAGGATTCTGTTTGTAACCCTAATTCTAATCATTTGTATACAGCCTCTCGCTTTAGAATGTAACCTTCCTGAGGGCAGGCATTGTCTTTGCTTTTGCATTCATATCACTAGGGCTTAGCACAGTGTTTGCTGCATAGCTAGTGTTAAATAAATGCCTTCTCATTCTTTCCTTGACAACTGGAAGGACCAGGAATGACTTTGCCAGGGAGGTGGCACGTAAGCTGACCTTGGAAGTAGGCAAAGGTTCTTAAGAGACAGAGGTGAGGATGTAACACACTACAGCGACAGAGGACAATTGCAGCAAAGATAGGAGTTAGAATTCCAATTTGGGGAAACACAGAGTCAAATGATACAGCTGAAAAATAGGATGAATGAAAGGGAATTACTTTAAATAAGTCTAGAAAAGTAGACTGGAGCCATAGATGTTAAGCTGAGAAGTTGTAGTTTATTCCACAGGCAACAGGGATCCACTAACAATTCTTGAACAGAGTAGTGGCATGATCAGATCTATGCTTCAAGGATATTTTGGATTACAGAAGGGAAAGCCTGGAATTAGTGAGATCAATTAGAAAATAATTCCAGT